AAAAAAAAAAAACCATTTCATATCTTTCTTTTTAGTGGTAAAATTCATGAATTTTCATTGTTTGAAATACCTTTAAAAGGTATTATTGGCACAAGTTATCTTAAATATATCCTATTTAACACGTTATTCATGTGCTTCCTGTCATCATAGTTGCACATGTTCATTAATTTAAAACAAGTCTGTAGGATAGCTCTTCTCTATAATTTGGCTAGATAGTACAACACTGGATTTCAGTTCTTAATGGATGAGATTACCTGTCAAGACTACATGGTACATACTAAACAAGCAATGGAATCAGTGATAACACAAATCACAAAAGCCTCAAGAGTGAACATTAATTCTAGATCACTTAGTCCTAAAGATATGTCAAAGTTCCATCCATTTTAACTTTCCCTGATTTCTTTTCTTTATTTATTTTTTTATTTTAGGGGGTTACCGGCCTTTTTATATGAGTAGGTGCAGTCCTCAGTTTGAAAATCCTAGTTTAAGTAATATTATCTGGTACCTGAGCTCTTGGAATTTCCTCAATTTCCCCCTTCCATAGTCTTGCCTCTCTAGAAACTAATCCAGTAACTGAATTAAGAAAAATATTCTTACTTCTTTATTAAGTAATTCCTATTATAACTCTCTTGAATGTAGTGGTTCTGTGAATACACAATACCTCTTTCAGATGCACTTAATCCATTTGAACTATCTGGTCACTAATTACCTCATATAAAATAGGCCTGTTTAGTCAGCTTTGAGATTTCAATCAAATTTGGAAACTTGTGATACTACAGAAACATGAGTTTCTCTTGGAAGGATACTTTATCCCATTCCTAGCTTAGCTCTCAGTTTGAGCAACTCTTCTTAGTTCATGGTTGATTATTCTTGGTGAAAATGAAAAGTCAGACACAAACAAAACAATAGAAAAACAGAGATATTTTACCTTAGGCAAAGGTTTGGCAGGTTTGCAGTGGAGTCCACCAACAAACTCAGTATTTGGCAAGGTGGGGCGAGGAAATTCCAAATCCCAGTAGGATCGAATGAGCCACATTTCTGCTTTTGCCATACTCTGTGATAATGTAGTGGGTCTCCCTAAACAAAGAAGGAAAACAAGGAAAGAATGAAAGAGAAAGAGAGA